TCAATGAACTTCGAAAATAACTAGAATGTCAAGCTAACAATCTCGACTAGGTTCATTGTGGGTAATCATAAAATAAAACTGTAACGCATACAGCAGGTATTTGGACGTAAAAGTGTACACAGAATTCATATAAAAGGATTCTCGTAATAAAAAACTCACAGCAGGGATTCGGACCTCTTAAGGGATGCAGTGAAGCGTCGACGTATGAAACATTAGACGGCGACTCTATGATAAACTGGCGGGCTGCAGCTATTCGTCCGTACCCCGTTTCCGCGAAATGTTGCCATAGTAATAAGTAATTCACTAACCGTAGGCGCTAAAATATTGTATTTTGGATGGTTGACCAACAGCGTTTGTTGGTTTACATACGGAAAGTTTTCACCAAATAAAAAAATCGCCCGGTAGAATTTATTTCCGCTGATCGCCCAATAATTTATGTTAAACGATTTTTTTTCAATCGCATGCCGTAGTACGAATGCCATAGTCACCACAACAGATGCTGGAATTGTTTGGGTGAATTTATTTCAGTTAATGGTCGAATAATCATGGTTATTCGTGTTCTATGAGTGAATTTCTTTCAGTTAATGGTCGAATAATGATTCTTCTTGGTGTATGAGTGAATTTATTTCAGTTAATTCAGTTAATCATGATTATTCTTGTTGTGTTGCAGTCTGCATGAGCTCACCCGTATACTGAGGAGCTAACTGACCTCTAACACGTACAGTCCCTCGATAAACCATTTCTATTATCAGGTATAACTGAAATAAAAAATCGTGATTTATCTTATCATTCGCAAGATCAATAGAAATGAAGCTAAATAGTTTCGTAAATAAATAATCACACTAAGCTTGAATTGTATTTTTAAAGACATCACCACACAAGACATCACCACACAAGACATCAACACACAAGACATCACTACACAGGACATCACCACACAAGACATCACCACACAAGACGTGACATAATGGACAACATTTCGTCTGTACCACGCATAGTCTGGTGTAGCCATGCAATTCATCTGAGACATGAATATTATTTTACTGAACATCTGAGACGTGAAGACAGAACCCAAGGCAAACTGAACTATTTTGGGGAAATTCCTAATGATTAGCTATTTGACAAAACAACATTTGCCGGTGTTAATAGTGAGTGAAATGAAGTTTTCAGATGATTGGACTAATTACAATTGACTGAAAATAAATTCAATTTAAACATCAAGAGGAATAAGTATGGTCTTACGAAGGAAAAACTATTAGAAACAATGAAAATGTGTCATTAATTCTTCTACCGAGGTGAATATTGAGTTATCAACATTTATTATTTTTTTTAGTTGCTATGACTTGCATCTTCATTTGAATCAGAATCCACAATGTTCATGAATCCATTCATAAATTTTAAACTTTATTTGGAAAATTTTTATCAAAATCCACATCGTTCATGAATCCATTCATCAATTTTAAATTTTATTCCTAAAATTTTACACAAATTTTGCGTGAATTTCCAGGCCAATTCATGTTAAATCTCCTGAATCCAATTTGAAGGTCAGGGCTATGTGAATGAATCATACGTCATCACTTTTCGTTGCCAACTGTTGATCTTTCCGCACTTTATATTTCATAAATTCATAAAGCTATTTTATCGCTATTTATTCCTAACTTAGATCATGAGTGATGAAACAAATGTTTATTATGTCATAGAACTATATCAATAGAAACGTAGTATTAAAATATTTCTTCTTAACACGTTGACTACGATTGCTTTATCTTGTACTATTATTTCATTTTTTGTACTATTTTTAAACAGGGTTGCCAAACGGTCATTTTTTCCGGACAAATTCCGTGATTTAGTTTTTCTCAATTGCGTTGGACGGCTAAAATTTATGATAAGGGTACTTCCTAATTAAATTTCAAATACTGCAAAAAGAAAATGAATGAAATTTTTACAGTGGAACCTACAACTAAACTAGTATATCTTAAGTTATCGGCCTTTTTTGGCCTTTTTTGTTCTCGGATTTGGCCAATTTTAGGCAACCTGAATTATGTACCACTACGTCCTGGAGAAATACATTTCGTGGTACGCATATGTACCACTTCGTAGTCAACGTGTTAATATTAAGAACTAAAAGAATAATCAATTGCGAAACAATTAGAAAATTTTGAGTAGGAAACTTAATTGATTTTACGTTCCTGGTATTGTTTTCACTACTCGAAACAAGATAAAATTTGTATATCACACCGTAAATATTCCGGCAGCATATTTCTTTGAAGAGACTTAATTCTGCCGCAATCCAATGTTGAAAACCATTAAAAAATTCACATTTAATCATCAGTCCTTTAAATATTATTTCGTAATTAAAGACCATTTTATCAAAAATATTTCGTACTTAATGAGCATTCCATGAATAATTCCGTTATTAACTACCATTTATTATTATTATTATTATAACTACCAAATTATTTTGCAATTGATTAACCATCAAAGCAGAAAATTAAGTACTCGGAGGCCGCGAAAGTCAAATATTTCGTAAATACAGCTATAGATCTTTCCAGCACAATCATTCCTCAATATAATACAATAACAATTAAATTATTTCCAAATTTACAACGGTTCAAAGTAAATTCTGTAACTAGGGCCTTTAAAAGAATATCCTTTCGTCAACAAAGACCATTTCGTGCAAATTGTTTTGTGCTCAGATGACGGACGTACCAATTGATCCTCTGGTTTTGATCATAGTTCGACGGAAATTTTTATGCCTGCAAATTTCGAAAATTAAAATCCACAGTTGAATACCTAGCACATGAAAAAGATTAATTAAAAAACATTATCGTTGAAATAAATAAAATTCTCCAAAAAATATTTAGGCAGATTTCGTAAGCTTCAGCAAGCCATTGAGAGACCAAATATGAAGGCAATTAGTATGATAAAATAATGAGTAAATTAGTACATTGTATTGGACCCAACTTCATAAAAACTGCAATTTTAAAGTCAGTTTCCTTCGTTCTCATTAACTGGAGCTGAACTTAGTCTGCATTCAAAGTATTATTGTAGAGAATAATCATTTGTGGAACGTCTACAATATCCGCGTATTTGAAGGCACGTAGGAGTGAATTTAAATTGCATAATTTTATGAATTTAAATTATATATTTTTATGAATTTAAATTATATAATTTTAACATATATTCATTTACACCGCACCAAATTTTTCAAGTACCTTACAATTTACGACCAGTCATTTTCTCTAACACGGCCTTTTATTTTGATTTGAAACCATCTTGATACGCATTGGAAGAAATACTTTCATTAGCACAACCATTTATTCATTATTTTATTGATTACCTTATTTTTATTTGTGCTTAAAGAACGCACAACAAAGTCAGTGACGTGTCATCGCCACGGGCCACATGACCGTAGTCGTTGAGTACTGAGGCAGTGACGTGACATCGTCACGGACCACTGGCCGTAGTCGTTGAGTACTGAGGCAGTGACGTGACATAGTCACGGACCACTGGCCGTAGTCGTTGAGTACTGAGGCAGTGACGTGTCATCGTCACGGACCACTGGCCGTAGTCGTTGAGTACTGCGGCAGTGACGTGCCATAGTCACGGACCACTGGCCGTAGTCGTTGAGTACTAGTCATCGTCACGGACCACTGGCCGTAGTCGTTAGTACTGAGACAGTGACGTGTCATCGTCACGGACCACTGGCCGTAGTCGTTGAGTACTGAGGCAGTGACGTGTCATCGTCACGGACCACTGGCCGTGGTCGGCAGAGTAACAGCGTCGAGAGAACTGTGATCGCACTACATTATGCAATCATCTTCTACCTACAATCGTCCATTCTCTAAGCCGCCGCTAGATTTCTAGTATGACTGCAACGAAATTTTTTGTATCTAATCTGAACAAGGTTGACGAAACATTCAATTTTTAAACTTTGATATAATACAGTAACCTTGTTTCAGTTATAATTTGTAACTTACGGAGCTAATAAGCTAATAAGCTAATAGGTTATATAACTCCAACAGTGCCAAGTATGCATAAAAATGCTGGTTGAAATCTAACGAATTGTTATGGCAAAGATTTGAATAATTTTATTTATCTACACTGCAGCAACATGATACAAGAGGTCGACGAGTTCAAGTGTGTTGTAGGTTAGGATAACTGCGTTGAATTGAGTTGAAAGATGATAACAATCATTGGAACAACTGTGTTGAATTTTGGTGGACGATGATACGTATCTAGCGTTGGAACTACTGAGTTGATTTAAGTTGAGTGATGGTTACAGGAGTTAAGATGACGGTATTGAATGGAGGCAGAGGATGGCATCATTTATTGAACCACTAAATTTTTCTACTTAATTATATTCTAGGACATCAAAATGAATTGGAAATAATTTGATGGCAATTTTAACAAGCACCTGAATATGTAAATTCAGGTCAGTCGTCATTTGCCCTGACGAGATGTTGCAATAAAGTGAAATACTTTTTTATAGCTATTATTCACTTTAATTGCGCCTGTGTTTTATTTGTTCATCTCCACTTATTCTCCGATGTTGGATATACCGTGCTTTAGTTCAGTCCTACTCCGGTTTGCATAGATCCATTTCATAATGTAGCCTTCTGATTTTACTTGCTGTTACCTAAGTGCATTTCCGCAAACTAATATGAACATTACATTATTAACACCTGTATTGCACCCCTCGTGGCTCGTGGCAAGAAACGTTCGTCAAACGTTTACCAAGTAGAACCGTTGAACGTTTCCAGGTAGACCCATCGAACGTTTACCAGGTAGATCTGTCGAACGATTCCCAGGTAGACCCGTTGAACGTTTTCCAGGTAGACCCTCAAACGTTTACCAGGTAGACCCGCCGAACGTTTCCCAGGTAGACCCCCCAACGAACGTTTCCAGGTAGACCCGTTGAACGTTTCCCAGGTAGACCCGACGAACGTTTTCCCAGGTAGACTCGTCCAACGTTTCCCAGGTAGACGGGAGCTCGCCTCCCGCGGGCGCGTATATAAGGACTGGTCCCGGCGCGGCAGCATCAGTTGACATGGCGTCGTCAAGTGCGTCGCTCGAGATGCAGGATACCACAAGCGATGGCGGCTCGCCGCTGTCGTCCAATTCTGTCTATGAAACGAAATATCAGAAGTCTTTACGACATTACCTCACTAGGGAGGCCTTACCTAAGGAGTCAAACTATCGTAATTTGAAATCCATTGTGGATGCATCGCTGCAACCACGGCCAACTTTGGATGATCTTCAAAGAAATACCATACCGAGGCACCCGGTGAGTAATCAAAATTTAATGCTGGTAGCAGCCTCTAGATTTTCATGTTAATCTTTTTCTGGTTTCATTTCGTTCCTGAAAAGATTTTTTTTAATCCATTTATAGACCGGATCCAGTTTATTTCCGGCGGCGACTAAAAGCAACGGCTTCGTTAGTCGTAGCGGTTGGTGTAAAATTTGGTCCTGATTTTTATATGTGATCCATAAACTCATAATTAAAACTCAGCTTCCAAGAATTTTACAGACTTAATTGAATAGTACAAATCGTGATGTTTTTTGTATGATACGGACTAAAACGAGCGGGTGGATCTTATTGGATCTTATTTTATATAGAAGTTATCTTACCAGTTATCTTATTTTATATAGAAGTTATCTTACTAGTTGTTCCAAACCTCCTTACATAATACAATATGAAAAATTTCAGTGTCAAACCTACCTGCGAATAAATGTTGCAGTGGAATTGTTCTCTAGAGCAGATAAATGCAGAAACTGTCAGTGTCAGTGAAATTCATAAAGTGTGACCTTCTATTGCAATTTGGGTCGGTGAAGTTTGAAATAGATTGAGAAATCCTAGCCCTAAGCCCTCGGGATACATACTCGTATATGAAGTCTTCCTATAGTCCCATGAATAACAGTCCTATAATCCTATAATCCTATAAAGTCTGGTCATATAAATAAATAAAGATTTTGAACTCCATTCTGAACTCTCTGGAAACTTACAGCTTTACCTTAGTTTTTGATTCATTAAATCGCACCTACATTACACCATGCGAGTTTTCAACACGAGTCGAGTTACGTTGATTTTTCTTACAAACCCCTTTGTCAGTTGAAAGTGTCAATCATCGTTGAATTCACGCCTCTGATCTGTACATTGCTTGTGCGGGGCGTTTACAGGACGTTATCCCGTTGTCATTAAGTTCAGAAACTTCCGTTCTGAATTTGTCCACAAAACGTGCACGTTTTCCAAGCATTGAACATTGCCCTGAATTCCACCTTGAACCTCACGAATTGCAGTTTGAATGTCGTGAAAAAACTTCCGTATGTCAAGCGCTTTCTCTCTGTCATTCTTTCACTTTCTGTTATTCATTTGCCATTCATCTCTGCTACCGTCGTTTTTTTCCTAATTGCAAACTTTCAGTTATGTGATAATTATTATTTTATTACTTTTAACTTCATCTAGAAATGGTAGTATAGTTATCGCTGTTCCTCGATCGGTAATTTCGCTTTTTCATAAACGCAAACTTTCAGCTATGTGATAATTATTATTTAAATACTTTTTACTTCATCTTGAAATGGTAGAATAATTATACGGTGTCGCTATATTTCGAGTTACACGGAAAATTGCGAGAGAAGTGAAAAAATTACGAACTTACGCGTACTGTCAATTGCGAAGTACTAACAATGAAGGCTATGAAGAGACAAAAGTGGTTGATGCCAGCGATGTCTCATGTCTGAAACTCTGCAAGTTTCTGTCATTTGGATATCACTAATGACGGAATTAAAACATATTATTTATCAACATATACTTGGAAAAGTTTTGAATTATCATTAGCCGATACCTACGACGCATAATGTTGCAGTCGCCACCTTCATTGCCTGACTTGATCGCTGCCTGGCCTTGCCTCGAATTTGCTTTGCCTGACTTGAACGCTGCATGGTTTGCCTTTAATTTGACTTACCTGACTTAATCGCTGCCTGGCCTTGTCTTAAATTTGCCCTAAAAAACCCGAACGCTGCCAGGCCTTACCTTCAATTTGTTTTGCCTGACTTGATCGCTGCCTGGCCTGGCCTTGCCTTAAATTTGCTTTACCTGACTTGATCGCTGCCTGCATAGCCTTGCCTTTAATTTGCCTTACCAGGCCTGATCGCTGCCTGGCCTTGCTTGCAGTTTACCTTACCTTGACATGACCGCTTACCTGCAATTTCGAAGATCACCATCTGCACTGATCTTCCGCCCACAAAATTGTTCTGAATAATGGCTATCAGAACGCAAGCGATGTCATAAATGAACTAAAGTATATACGATGCATCAAATGCATTACATGTATACGCTTATATTTATAATTAACACGTTGACTACGATTGCTTCATCTTGTACACTTATTTCATTTTTTGTACTTTTTTTAAGCAGGGTTGCCAGACGGTAATTTTTTCCGGACAAATTCCGTGATTTAGTTTTTCTCAATTGCGTTGGCCGGCTAAAATTTATAATAGGGGTACTTCCTAATTAAAATTTAAATACTGCAAAAAAATGAATGGAATTTTTATAGCGGAACCTACAAATAAACTAGTATACATTGAATTATCAGCCTTTTTTGGTCTTTTTTGTCCTATTTTGTTCTCGGATTTGGCCGATTTTAGGCAACCTGAATTATGTACCACTACCTCCTGGAGAAATACATTTCGTGGTACACATATCTACCAATACGTAGTCAACGTGTTAAGATAACTAAATACTGGATTTGGCTCATTAGGGCGTTACATACAAATTTCCTCACACCCGTGACCCAGTCTATACAGAGGTAGTCTGTGCAATTTGCGCGAGTGCTATGGCAATTATATGGCTAGTGGAGTGGCCAATTAAATGGATAGCAGAGCAGGCAATTATATGGATAGCTAAGCGCACCATTTAAATTATGGCTGCTTCCAGTCTGGTGAACTAACACGTTGCCGAGTAGGTTACGTCGCAGAGTAGGTTACGTTGCCGAGTAGGTTACGTTGCCGAGTAGGTTACGTTGCCGAGTAGGTTACGTCTGTCTCTTATACACATCTAGATGTGTATAAGAGACAGCGTTGGAACAGCTGTGTTAAATTGGAATGAAGGGTGATAAGCATTGTGTTCAATATTATTAAAAATTCAAAATTATTANGTCTTTCAGTGCCGTCTTTCAGTGCCGTCTTTCAGTGTCGTCTTTCAGTGCCGTCTTTCAGTGCCGTCTTTCAGTGCCGTCTTTCAGTGCCGTCTTTCAGTGCCGTCTTTCAGTGCTGTCTCTGACCTAGGCTGATGGTCCCACAGCAAACTTGTATGGGTCCCAGGCAAAATGTGACGCGGGTCTGTCCCGCCAGACGTGACGTGGGTCCCGGGTCCTGGTCTGTCCCGCCACACGTGACGTGGCCGTGACACGGGTCCCGGTCCCTGACGCTCCCGCCCTTCCTTCCGTTCCGGGACGCAATGCGGCCCGCCCTGCACGCGACGAGCGCCGCGCTGCTTTCCCGTGAGCAGAACTTTCCCGTGAGCAGAACTTTCCCGTTAGCAGAACTTTCCCGTGAGCAGAACTTTCCCGCAAGCAGAACTTTCCCGTGAGCAGAACTTTTCCGTGAGCAGAATTTTTTCGTGAACTTTCCCGCGAACAAAACTTTCCCGCGTGCAGAATATGCCAGTGAGCAGAACTCTACCGTGCGCAGAACGTTCATGCGAGCATAACTTTCCCGCGAGCATAATTCAATCATGAACAATCGTATGGTCATATCACGTAACGAACTCAGCGGCATTTGCCGTCTGACGTCGATTAAACGTTGTTTCATCAATGTCAACTCGTAATCAAAGTTGTTTCATCGATGTCAACTCGTAACCAACGTTGTTTCATCGATGTCACCTCGAAATCAATGTTGTTTCATCGATGTCAACTCGTAACCAACGTTGTTTCATCAATGTCAACTCCTAATCAATGTTGTTCCATCGATGTCACCTCGAAATCAATGTTGTTTCATCGATGTCAACTCGTAACCAACGTTGTTTCATCAATGTCAACTCCTAATCAATGTTGTATCATCGATGTCAACTCGAAATCAATATTGTTTCATCGATGTCAACTCGAAATCAATATTGTTTCATCGATGTCAACTCCTAATCAACGTTGTTTCATCGATGTCAACTTCTAATCAATGTTGTTTCATCGAAGTCAACTGGCAACAAACTTTGTTTCATCGATGTCCAGTTCTAATCAACGTTGTTTCATCGATATCAACTCATAATCAACGTTGTTTCAAAGTTATTTGACTATAGCAGAGTCCCGGGAACAACAGCGTTTAATGGAACCCAAGGCCTTATTTTCGCCAAGGAATCAGTCGAGGCTCCTAAGAAACACTTGTTTATCGTCTATCTCTGGCCGAACATGGACTCCATTAAATATCTTGAATAATACTGTGCAATTTGGAGAGAAAACTCTTATGTAAAGTTGATTAAGGGCAACATGCCTGAAAGAAAAAAAATTGCATTATTGTTGATAATAAAGTAATATCTTGAAGGATTTCATAAGTTTGATTTGGACGTCAGCCTTCATCACACTTGCTATCAAAATTTTGATCTTCCTCAGGCAAATTTTTACTGGTAAAATCCAGTACCTGTTCCTCTGCGACTGCATTCGTATTGTTAGGGGCACCTGCTACTACGAGAAGTAGTTTACCAAACGTTAAACACAAGCCTAGTCTTTAAACATTTTAAGTTTCCAAGCGGACCAGTTTTTGCACTGGCCGCCAAACTGGCTGTCACCAGCTCGGTCAGCCTCGCACCACGTACGAAGCTCTTATACGCTTCCTGGAATCTGCACCCGGCGTCCTAGAGCGACTTTTTTTGCCACTGCGGCCATCCAGACTCTCCACTGCAGCTAATACAGGCTCACTACCACGGCTGTTCCAATCCAGTGCGGCTCTTCCAATCCTATCCAGTGTGGCTGGCCCAAGCTTTCCACCGTGGGTGCTCCAGGTTCTCCACTGCGACGCTCCAAGATCTCTACTGTAGCTGATCCAAGCTCTCCACTGCAACTGCTCCAAGCTCTTCAATGCGGCAATACCAGGCTCTTCACTGGAACTGCTCCAAGCTTTTCAATGCAGCAGGCAGTTCCTGGCTCTCCACTGCTACTGATCCAGGCTCTCCACGGCTGCTGATTCAGGCTCTCCACTGCAGCTGATCCAGGCACTCCACTGCGGCTGATCCAGACTCTCCACTGCGGCTGATCCAGACTCTCCACTGCGGCTGATCCAGAATCTCCACTGCGGCTG